CAGATCTTAAAAATGGTTACAAAGAAAATAAAGATAGAAAATAGAAATAAATGGTACCAAGTGACAGCTTAATCTAAGTCTATGTGTACACTTAAGACAAAGGACCACATCCAGGTACAATTTTTACCCCCTTCTGGGCCTCTCGACTCCAGTGTATCAGGCCAGGGCCAGTCCTTCAATTCCTAGGAAACACGAATACAAGGTGGGTGTCCCCGTGGAACCTCGGGAGGCCAATCACCTAACCCGATCAGCAGATAGATGGTAGATTGACGCTCAGAGTAAGTGTGCTGCTGGACCCATCTTTATACCCATAGGGGCCCGTATCCTCTTTCTTAGCTAAGATGCCAAATTGTGTTGGTCCGTCTTTGTGACGCCAGTTCTTACAAGGGAGTTTCAACTTAACTTACACTTGCAAGAGAGATAACTAAATTGTAAGTACTGGACATTCTTTACTGGGTGGGAGATTCCTCCCCCCACAGATGGCTGTGTGTTCATATCAATATAGGTGCCAGCCAAGGCAGTTCTCGCAGCCTCGAGGTCAACAATTGGTGAATCTCTCTTTACAGCCATCCAGGGTCACTGTGAGTGAGCATATCCAGGCCTCCTGTCAAGGCTTCAAAGACTATGCTGATTTTACAGCTTTGTGTGCCCTGTATGCTTCCAGGCAAGCAAAGGTGGATGTTATAGGTGGGGGTTCCTGTCTGGCTACAGGCACTTACGTACCTTGGTGAATCAGAACCTTTGATTCTACTGAAACCATGAAGGCAAATACAGTAAATAAACCAAATTCATTGCAGCTATTAACTCTCTATCATTTCAGAGCAAAGGTCCTCCATTCTACTCACCGACAGTGGGATTTTCCAGACTTTAGTGCGAATTCTCAAAGGCAATCCAAGCTGTGCAGCGAAGGCAGCCCAGGTGATTGCAGAGATAGCAAAGAATGGTATGTACCGTAGTGGGTGAAGGGTCAATAATGCTACTCCATGATTCCTGTACACTTTCAGTCTGTGTGTCTGTTCTATGGATGCTAATTATTGGCCTAGCAATTTATGTACTAGTTACATTTCAACAAGGCCAGTTCCAAGCAGCTTCTCTCCTCTCTCTTTGCAGAGGAAATGAAGAAGCCATGTATCGAAGCAGGTTTAGTTCTAGCTTTGGTACCTCTGCTGGAGAGCACGGACCAAGAAACATTGCTTCATGCTGGGAGGGCCATTGGCCGCATCTGCTATGAAAACAGTAAGTACCCAATTTGCTGAAGGAGCACTGTATATAGTACAAGTTGAACATCTTTGGTCCAGCACTCTCTGGTCGGACAACATCCATGATCCAGCATAGGGATGTAAGTGACTCGTCAACTACCCGATAAGCGTAGTGACTTGACTAGTCACTTCCCTCCCCCCTTGCTGTCTCTATCAGAGACAGGCAGCAAGAGGAGGGAGCAGGAGCCTCCAGCCCCAGCCAGTTCCCCTCCAGGACTGTCTCCATGGGGGGACAGGGCCACAGTGGGGAAACGGCAACTGCTGCACTTCTGCCTTTGAAACGTAGCAAGAGCCCCGCGGGCACCTGCTACATTTGAAAGTCAGAAGTGCAGCGGTCAGAACATGGGGTGAACAGGGCTGCTTGAGTCCCTGCTCACCCCATGTTCCCTGCTGCTCTTCTGCCTTTTAAATGTAGTAACAGCCGCAGGAGGCTCTTATTACATTTAAAAGGCAGAGGCGCAGCTGGGATAGCAAACGCCCCACCTCCCCCGTATTGACTAATCGAGTAGTCGATGGAAATTCCATCGACTACTCGATTAGCTAATGAATTGAAATTTAACATCCCTAGTCCAGCATGATTTTAGTTAGCCAGATGTCCACCTATCATGGGTGTGGCCAAGTTTCCCTCAATACCAAAAAGTTTTTTCAGCCAACGATCCTGACTCTCAGTGTTCTGTGCTGTTATTTAGCTCTAATTTTCCCCAAATGTCTTCTAAGTGCCCAACAGTGGAAGTGTTGGTGTTGCTGCTAGACAACATACCTCTCCTATGGTTCAACAAATTCTCTGGTTTGGCACCGGTCAGGTCGCGAGGGTGCCAAACTAAAGAGGTTCAACCTGTAGCAAGGTTTTGGGATTTTTTAAACACTTGGGTTTTCTACTTAGACTGCAGCTAGAATGCTTTGTCTGTAGTGCTGTGTACCCATACTCCTAGTTCAGTTTCCAATTGCTTCTACAACAGACATATACTAGTGAAAACAGCATGGTTTTGACTAAAAGGAGACTATAATTAACGGGTTAGATTCACTTTTGAATAACTTTTTTTACTCATTGTAATTACAGTAAGTTAATACCAAAGCCCAGCCAAATCATTTAAGTAGCTTTCACTTAGGAACAGCATGTTTTATTAAACTGCCTCTTGCTAAGTTGCAATTATTATTTGTATTACAATACTGCCTAAAGACCCCAGCTGAGATCAGGGCTGTCATTGTGCTAAGCACTGTACACGCATATAATCAAATACAGTTCCTGGCCCCCAAAGACCTTAGTCTACATAGATAAGACAATGGAATGGAGGGAAATAAAGTTGGACTGACTTGGTCAAGATCACACAGGAGAGAGCAGTGGCAGAGAACTCAGGCCTTTTGATTCATCTCCTGAACTGCACAGTATCATGGGAAAACATTGTTATAAAACCTGCTGTTTAATTGTGAGGGAAAAAATGCCAAAGGGAAAAATCTGGGCATATATTGTGGTATCAGTGATTTGTTTTGATGATACCTGAACCAGAATGCAACATGTTGAGAACTAAAAGGACAGTAGGTGAGAAGGCAGGTTGGATGCTTTAGAAGTGGAATAGCTACAGTTATCTGTGAGTCTGTCAGAAACCCCACAAACCAGTGGGAAAATAACCTGGTTTATTTAGAGCCAGATTCCCACCTCTTGTAGACCACGTGGCTCCCTTGACTTCAGTGGAGCTAGGCAGACATACACTAGCTGAGGATCCCTCTTCTAAAACATACTAAAGCCATACAGAGAGGTGCTAAACCCAAGTACTGTAGTATATTCAGAGTGGTTTGGCACGGGAACAGCACAGATTACCTCTCCATCCAAAAGAGGACAGTGGGTAAAGTAATATGGAAGTGAAATGCAGTCTTCCTTCTAGATAATATACTGTAATTGTACATGCTTAGAACCTTTATCTTACATAAAGGCATCTTTTCCAAAATAACCACGGCTATTCTAGAATGCAAGGAGCTAAGTTTGTGAACTAGACCGTGAATCAGAGTCACAATCAGGTTGCTTGCTCCTGTGGGTAAAGTGACCTGCACCATCTCTAAGCCTACTGCTCCAGTTCATTTGTACTGACTGATACACTCAGTGACATGCCTAAGAGTCTGCCTGTTCCCCCTCCCATACATCTGCATGAGGGACAGGCATGCATTTTTAAACAGTGCAAGTGATTAACCCTTAGAGCCATTCACCAAGTTATGACAGGGTGTGACTCACCGTGCCCATGCCTCCTGTTGGCCATTTTAGAGATTAGCTCTGCCGGTCAGTACACCCTTTCCCAGTGGTACCTTGCCTGCCATCACATCTGCTCTCTGGCCCAGAGACTCCAAAGGACTGTGACATGCTCTTCATGATACAGCTCTTCAGCCATGTCACCATCTGAGCTCTCTCCTTACAGGGGTTAATAGTGCAGTCCAACTCTCCAGCCATTTCCACTGAGCTAAGAACCGTCAGAGCCACCCATGACTTCAGGCCCCATCCCAAGGACCATGTCAATGATAGCCACATGCTGTGCCTCTAACTCCCGTATGACTGCTATGCTTCTCTGGCACTTTTCTCTCAGCACCTCACCTCAGGGCCTTCGGACACCGTTCTATCCAAGGTACTAGCACGCCATTCTCTTGCTAGGAATGCAAACATCCTTCCTTGAGCTCCAGGCAGCTACTGACCCCTGTGTTGTGTCTGCAGTTCTTCTGATATGGGCCTGCTGGGCCTGGATTGGCTGCTCCTCACAGCCTTTTTGCTATTCGCTGTGCAGCCTCCCTAGGCCTCTTAACCTCCTATATGCCAATTAGGGGGAAGATACCTCATCACACAAGGGTTGTGGTGGATTCTACTGCACTGACCATTTTAAATCCAAGTCTGGATGTTTTCCTACAAAATATACTCTAGGAATATTTTGTTGGAAGCTCTACAGGAACTCAGACAAGATGATCACACCTTCTGGCCTTGAAATCTGTGACAATAATGGTTCTGAGGAGTTTTTTCTGAATCTTGTGCTGCTACAGCCTTACCTGCCTCCACCACAATTCAGGGCTATTGTCACTATATCCACACTGAGGTTAAGCAGTCAAAGTAACGACGACATCCTTAAAAAAACTGAAAACACTCTTCTCTCTTGATCTTCTCGTGTTAGTCTGTTTTTTCATCTCTCAGACATGCTCTTTCCTACTACAATTGCCGTAATACCCGTTATAATGTCCTAACTGCTCAGCTTCCAAAAACACTTTTAGTATGAGAGTTTTAGGATGCAGTTTTTGTCTTGTAATTTCACAGCACAGATCTTGCCTCAAAATCTTCACTCTCCAGCCTCAGTCGGCACTTCTATTAGATATTACCTGAATCTGCAAGGTAAAACTCTTGTTAGTCTTGAAGATCAATGCGCTGTAAGACCACAATGGCTAGACCAGCATGATCATAGTTTGATGTCCCTAAATTAATTTCTTTTAAAATAGAATATCTACTATATATTTGAGAGAGTGTCAGAGTGTGTCTGTTCAAGAACTAGCTCCTAAACAGTAACAGCTAGGACCACCAAATTCAACATACAGCTTCCTCTTATCATAACTTAAATCAAAGTAAGGGTTTGGTTCTGTCAGTAAAATGGGATGTGCCTGGAATGCGAGTGTATCTCATAAAACCATACAGAAAAGAGGCAGAATCATCAGGTAGGTAAAAGGAGGTGGCTGGGGGTGCCCCTTCCCCCAATCCAGGACTGCCCCAGCCCCAAGTCTCCCACCACCAGACATGCTTTCAGGAGAAGGGTGGGCAGGGACTGAAGCACCCCACCCAAACTCATACAGGAACATTGCTGGCTGTTCCCCTTCGTCAGGGAGCGAGGGGAATGTGCTTAGTTTTCTGCATTCCTCACACGGGGCAGATGAAACTGGAGCTGTCCCAGCTGGAGGACATGTGCCCCTCCCCTGGCTGTGCCTGTTGGAGCTGCAGCAGCCATGGAAAGGTACATCTCACTTGCCTCTTAGCCGCTGTAGTAGGAGAGAGAGGGCTGGGGTAGTTCTCTCTCCCCATGGACCCCTTATCCCTAGCCCGATCCCAGAGCCAGGATACAAATGAAGCATGTACATTTTCATTTTATTTAAAAAAAATATATATTGAGTTAAGGACCCAAGCAATGCTGGGTAAATCTTTTATTTATATAGATAGATATAAAATCTTAAATGTAATATTTCAAGTGATAAATTATTCACCATAACCCAAGTTGTTGCTATGGTTAATTACCCTTGCAGTTAAAATTTACACCTTATTTCTAGTCTGAATCTTGTAGTAAAATGGTTTTAACTCCTCCATATCTGCGTTAGTATAATGATGGATTAATTCAAGGTGAAAATCCTGTTGTCTTTCATTTCTATGCTTTTGATTTCTAGGAGATCTTCAGGAGCAGCTAGTGAAGTCAGGAGTAATCGCATCATTGGTCAGGATATTAATTGACTACCCAGAGAGTGAGCCTCTAGTCCGTGTCAACTTGTTGGCCTTATCTAACCTTGCAAACTTAGGTGAGCATTTAAACACTTCCACATTTGCAACTGTATTGGCTTCATGTCTCAGAGCAAAACGGCACTCTTATACTACCATTGGCTTGTTCTTATTCAGTGTTACCACAAGTTGGCCATAACAGACAAATGCTTTACCAGGCAAACTCACTGGAAGAAATGCAAGAGTGTCTTTATATCTTGCTACATCAAGACTTACCTTCTTACTATTCGTCCCTGTGGTCAACCTTAATAGTCCCTCTAAATGTTCACAACTAAACACCAGAATCTATAACAATAGCTGACCAGCCATACATAAATCATTAAGAGTTAATTTAGGTCCTAGCCACTTCCCAAAGAAAATTAATGGGCCATGTCCTTACCTATTATAAACTGATGTAACGTCACTGACTTAAACTGCTGTGTATAGAATAGTACTTCATTTTATTTAAAATGTAGTGCAATTTAACTTCATTAAGTATCTTTATTTTTGTATCTCATACAGGCCAAGGGACACTAGGGGCTTATCTAGACTACACTAAAGTGTTGAACGAGGATATGCAAATTCTGCGGGAACTTGCATATCTTCTTCCAATCTCACTATCGAAAGCAGAGTTTTCAAAAGTGAAAGTAGTTTAGACGTGGCTTTTTCAGCACCCCCCCGCTTTGTTGAAAAGCAGCTCTTCCTCAAAAAATGAAGTTTACGGGGCTTTTCGACAAAAGGGGAGTGGTTCACTGAAAAAGCCACGTCTAAACTACTTTCACTTTTGAAAACTCTGCTTTCGATAGTGAGATTGGAAGAAGATATGCAAGTTCCCGCAGAATTTGCATATCCTCGTTCAACACTTTAGTGTAGTCTAGATAAGCCCCTAGTGTCCCTTGGCCTGTATGAGATACAAAAATAAAGATACTTAATGAAGTTAAATTGCACTACATTTTAAATAAAATGAAGTACTATTCTATACACAGCAGTTTAAGTCAGTGACGTTACATCAGTTTATAATAGGTAAGGACATGGCCCATTAATTTTCTTTGGGAAGTGGCTAGGACCTAAATTAACTCTTAATGATTTATGTATGGCTGGTCAGCTATTGTTATAGATTCTGGTGTTTAGTTGTGAACATTTAGAGGGACTATTAAGGTTGACCACAGGGACGAATAGTAAGAAGGTAAGTCTTGATGTAGCAAGATATAAAGACACTCTTGCATTTCTTCCAGTGAGTTTGCCTGGTAAAGCATTTGTCTGTTATGGCCAACTTGTGGTAACACTGAATAAGAACAAGCCAATGGTAGTATAAGAGTGCCGTTTTGCTCTGAGACATGAAGCCAATACAGTTGCAAATGTGGAAGTGTTTAAATGCTCACCTAAGTTTGCAAGGTTAGATAAGGCCAACAAGTTGACACGGACTAGAGGCTCACTCTCTGGGTAGTCAATTAATATCCTGACCAATGATGCGATTACTCCTGACTTCACTAGCTGCTCCTGAAGATCTCCTAGAAATCAAAAGCATAGAAATGAAAGACAACAGGATTTTCACCTTGAATTAATCCATCATTATACTAACGCAGATATGGAGGAGTTAAAACCATTTTACTACAAGATTCAGACTAGAAATAAGGTGTAAATTTTAACTGCATCAGGTAGGTAAAAGGAGGTGGCTGGGGGTGCCCCTTCCCCCAATCCAGGACTGCCCCAGCCCCAAGTCTCCCACCACCAGACATGCTTTCAGGAGAAGGGTGGGCAGGGACTGAAGCACCCCACCCAAACTCATACAGGAACATTGCTGGCTGTTCCCCTTCGTCAGGGAGCGAGGGGAATGTGCTTAGTTTTCTGCATTCCTCACACGGGGCAGATGAAACTGGAGCTGTCCCAGCTGGAGGACATGTGCCCCTCCCCTGGCTGTGCCTGTTGGAGCTGCAGCAGCCATGGAAAGGTACATCTCACTTGCCTCTTAGCCGCTGTAGTAGGAGAGAGAGGGCTGGGGTAGTTCTCTCTCCCCATGGACCCCTTATCCCTAGCCCGATCCCAGAGCCAGGATACAAATGAAGCATGTACATTTTCATTTTATTTAAAAAAAATATATATTGAGTTAAGGACCCAAGCAATGCTGGGTAAATCTTTTATTTATATAGATAGATATAAAATCTTAAATGTAATATTTCAAGTGATAAATTATTCACCATAACCCAAATTGTTGCTATGGTTAATTACCCTTGCAGTTAAAATTTACACCTTATTTCTAGTCTGAATCTTGTAGTAAAATGGTTTTAACTCCTCCATATCTGCGTTAGTATAATGATGGATTAATTCAAGGTGAAAATCCTGTTGTCTTTCATTTCTATGCTTTTGATTTCTAGGAGATCTTCAGGAGCAGCTAGTGAAGTCAGGAGTAATCGCATCATTGGTCAGGATATTAATTGACTACCCAGAGAGTGAGCCTCTAGTCCGTGTCAACTTGTTGGCCTTATCTAACCTTGCAAACTTAGGTGAGCATTTAAACACTTCCACATTTGCAACTGTATTGGCTTCATGTCTCAGAGCAAAACGGCACTCTTATACTACCATTGGCTTGTTCTTATTCAGTGTTACCACAAGTTGGCCATAACAGACAAATGCTTTACCAGGCAAACTCACTGGAAGAAATGCAAGAGTGTCTTTATATCTTGCTACATCAAGACTTACCTTCTTACTATTCGTCCCTGTGGTCAACCTTAATAGTCCCTCTAAATGTTCACAACTAAACACCAGAATCTATAACAATAGCTGACCAGCCATACATAAATCATTAAGAGTTAATTTAGGTCCTAGCCACTTCCCAAAGAAAATTAATGGGCCATGTCCTTACCTATTATAAACTGATGTAACGTCACTGACTTAAACTGCTGTGTATAGAATAGTACTTCATTTTATTTAAAATGTAGTGCAATTTAACTTCATTAAGTATCTTTATTTTTGTATCTCATACAGGCCAAGGGACACTAGGGGCTTATCTAGACTACACTAAAGTGTTGAACGAGGATATGCAAATTCTGCGGGAACTTGCATATCTTCTTCCAATCTCACTATCGAAAGCAGAGTTTTCAAAAGTGAAAGTAGTTTAGACGTGGCTTTTTCAGTGAACCACTCCCCTTTTGTCGAAAAGCCCCGTAAACTTCATTTTTTGAGGAAGAGCTGCTTTTCAACAAAGCGGGGGGGTGCTGAAAAAGCCACGTCTAAACTACTATTTCCCACGGAATTTGCATATCCTCTTTTGACACTTTAGTGTAGTCTAGATAAGCCCTAGGAGTATTTGATGCACCTTCATTGTTTTATAAGTCTTTAATAAAATAACTTGGTTCTCTTCTCACATATACTGGTTTAAAAATCATGTAGCTCCATTGACTTCAAAAAGTTTCTCCTGATTTGTACCAATGTTAGTGAAAAAAGAACCAAGTGTGAAGACTCTTTCATTTCACTTCATATTGAGGTTCTCTCAGTCATCTCAGAGTTTCCAATTTGGTTTGGGAAAAAAACCTCTCTAGCCTGCATGGTTGCTGAAAAAAAAATCTTAAAATAAAAACCCTAAAAGTTAACAGAACAGAAGACAAATACAAAAGCTCAGTAGGTTTACATTAAATTATCATGATTTAAGCCACTCATAATTTTTTCAGCTATGTCCTTTATATGTATTTTCTTAAAATTGTTAAATGCCCTTTTCCCTTTCATCATGTACTAGAGCTCATGACATAACAGCACATATGAGGGAGAGAGAGAAATATGTTAAAAGCTTTTGAAGAAAAAACAAAGTTTTTTCCCTAGCTATGAGCACCTATCCTGAACACATTGGTTAGATTCTTGCTGGGATACTTTCCTTTGCACATGTTGTCATACAAAAAGGTGAATTGATCACTGGGGTAAAGCCATTGAGTGCAATAGTTAGAGCAATGATTCATTTGACCATTAAAAGGGCATAGCCACACAAAATTACACAACTGGGTTAAGACAGCAGCATAAAAATGAGGCAGATGTTTTTTTCCCCCCCTTAAATCCACTCATATTGTCAGCTGTTACATGTATGAAACAAACTAGCAAAGCAACTAGATTCACACTCAGGAGAGATTATTTTAACGGTATTACATTTAGGGTGTGAAAACATACAAAATCCTGTTGTTATCTACACAGACATAGCTAAGGAAGCTCTAAGCAAGACAAAGGTAGCTGAACATCTAGTGAAGCAGCTGAGAAGTGCAGAGAACCATCAGAGGCTGGAAATCATCATTGAGGTTCTACAGATGCTAGCAGAGCATGGTAAGAGGTTCTGTTATCTTGACAACCAGGCTCCTTAGTATGGAGGTTTGTTAGCATAATGGCTATGATACACACACCACAGTTTTCAGTGGAATTCTATTACCGGAGGCAGGGACACAAACCGATAGGTGAAATCCTGACAGATGTATGTCAATGGAAGTTTTCCATTGACTTTTCAGCGAGGCCAGGATTTCATGCCTCATTTTACATGAATCTTTAGGACAGTGGAGGAGGAAATGATCCTGAATAAAATATATGGTGAGGGCATGCTATGAAATTAACCATTTGATAGCTTTGTACATGATACACACAGCCTCTTTCCTGAATAGGAATGCAGGAGATAACTGGGCTCTTAGAAAAATTACTGGGAGCTGATCCTAAAAGATACTTTAAAAATTGTAATGGGTATAAATGGAGATAAAAGCAGCCTTTTTCTTAAGGCAATCATTAGTCAGCCACTGCCTATTAAGAGACCAGTCTATTTCAGATAATCAAACGATAAATCTCATGACAATAATTTCATGACAATGGTATTTCAATGAATACTTTTAACTCCAAATATTTAACTTTGTGTATTTACTTATAAAAAAGAGATTATCCATCCAGGTTTCACTGGGACAGTCCCCTGTCTCCATATGAAGTCCAAGGAACTTCTTTGGAGATGCCGGAAATGGCCAGTTTTTCATTTCCGCCCTCACAATGTTTGCTCTATCACATAAAATTTTTTCAGGGTGTAATCAGTAACAAAGTCTAGTGGCTTGAGTGGTCAAGCAGAATTCCCCATGCTGGGGTCAGCACAGTGATGTTATTACAGCTGTTTGAACAAAACTAACTCAATATTACCACCACTGGGGAAAAAAATCCTCCACTGAGACACATATGAGCCATGGTGCTGCCAAGCTGAAAACTAGCAACAGCAACACACCTATTAGAGTACACTTTTGCCTGTTAGATTAACATTTTGTCATGTTGTGTTTGTTATATGCATGTGACAAAGAACATATGGAATGCGATTTTTAAAAGCAAAATAAAATAAAAGGCAAGATATTCCTTAATTGCCTCTCCCCACCCCTTCAAAAGTTAGTGATCTATTTAAAATGTGTATTTATTCTGATCAGGGTGTTTTCCAGTAACGTGGGTCCCACAATTTACTACACCGGGAATGATCCTGTCTTAAATTTACTAGGGATTTAGCCTGCTGGCACTCACTTTTTATGCAGTGACCCAAAAAGCATGCTTTATTATGCACGTTCTCCTGATGTCTGCAGATGCTTTGAAAGTACAGATGGTAGAGGCGGGTGTTCATGAAGCACTGTCCGAGATCCTACTGAGGCTCCAGGGCAGCTCCCGGGCAGAAGATACGTGCACTATGAAGGCTGCATCAGATCTCATTGTATCTCTACTCCTTGGAGGTAAGAAAAGGAACCATGAGATCCAGACGCCTGCAGAAGCAGCAGAAAGTCCCATTAGCAGTAGGGATTGCCATCTGCTCCCGTCATTTTCTTTCTGCAGACACATCTGCAGCCTGTTGTTTCAAGATTCCTTAAGGGAATTCTTCTCAACAACCCAGTTTTTTTCCCAGTTACAGGATGAGTGCAATGTTCATGTTGCCATAGTCTCCTCCAAGCACAGACACATTCTACCTCAGGCATTTAATGACTCTATGCCTGCTCCTAGGCAGAGGCTAGAATTGCCATTGAAAAACAGTGCCCTGTCTCCCTTATGTTGCTTTGTGTCTCAATCCAAAATTGGCTCTTCTTCAACTTTGTGATAACTTGGCTTCTCTGGGGTAGCCAAAGAAACATACAAAAGTGAGGACCCAATTATACTTCCCAAGTTAACGATCAATTTTAAAGGAACAGATCTTCAGAGGACGTAAACCAGCAGAACTCCACCATCTGGCCCGTAATATCAAGTGAGGGACTAAAAACACTAGTGTTGTAGCACAGAGAGTGCCTACATCAGTCCCCACAGATGAAACTGTGCTGTGGATTGATGCAGAGCTTGGAAGTCTATATGAAGATTCCTTTCTCATAGAGATATTCCACAGCAAGATGCATCCTTCCAAGTAAACTGTTTTTTGACATGGCAATCTGATGGTGGGGTGGCGGTGGGGGGGGGTCTCAATTTCCCCCCTCAAAAACCCCTGAACTCCCTCAGGCCATTTAAATACCTTTATACATTTGTATTCATTTGTTATTCAAAAATGGAGCGACTGTTTCAACCATCGGGATAATGAAGGAAACAAAAATTTAAAGTTACTTTGTACAACATGCTTCTACACACCAAAAAAGGGAGAACACTGCCACAGACTTTTCATTTCCTTAGTCACACTGCTTCTGTAACCAAGATATTGTGAAGGGACAGAGTCCAGGTCCAGCAGCAGCTTTTGAAAATAGAGAACATCAAATGTCATGGAGGACACCTGAGGTGCTTCTTTAGACATGTGAGACAGATGAAATCAATGATTTATCATAAGGGCATAGCAGAAAAATGTCAGCAGCTATCTCTGCTGATCCTAACTGTAATTTGGTTCAAATAGCTTTGAATGGCTGACAGCTTTGCAGCATTTGGGACTGTATGAATTAAAGAATAACTGCACAGAATCATGCATTTACATTGCATCCTTTGCCAAAATCTCAAGGCAATTTACAATTTAATTAAAAAGTTATAAAGCTGTGGCAAATATTCCTCTAAATTAAACACTATACTATATTTGGATTTTCTAGTATAAAGAACCAGTTCCAGATTAGTAATCACAAATTTATGGCTTTCATTCTTAAGATTACATTTAGCCTTTGCAGATCTCAATAAATAACATACTGACAGAACTCTTAGAAACACAGAAATGCAGTAGATAGATACACTATTCTCTCAATACCCATTTGTCAGTCCCGTGATATTTCCATGCTTGATTACACGTATATGTGTATGCATACACGCACAAACACATATTTACATGATCTAGCCTTTATCTGAGCTGGGACCATACTGCCACTTAAGATGCAATCCTGCAAGATACTGATTTCATGAGAAGATGAAGGCAGATACTTAGCACTCCGCAGGACAGATTTATACATGCACCAGTTCAGCACAGAACATCTGTTTTTCCAAATCTTCATATACAATTGCTGTTGTGTTATGCCTCTGCTTGGGAGAAACCTACTAGTGAACTACAACAAGACTGAGTAACTTCATACCTTCTGAAGAGGATGGTCCTTTCATCCAAGACTAGATCATATAGCTAAAAATACTGTGGGGTATCTTTCTTAAGGTTACTACCAATATACTGAGTATGTTGGCTTGTATAAAACATCTAAAATGATCAATTTTATAGCTTTAACAGCCTCCTGCCAATTCTGACACTCTGTTAGAGGAAACCATAGTCCACAAACTTCTGAAACCTTGACCAGTGCTATTCTATAACAGAGCTGCAAAGTAGAACTCAGTTGTACTTTTAGGTTTCTCTTCATGTATCGTACCACAGATGAATCCATGCAGAAGTTGTTTGCGAATGGATGTGGCATTATCTACCAGGAGGTTGGTACCTGGCTTGCATCCAAACACCCACAGCTGCAGCTGACAGGAGCACTGGCTGTTGCTAACTTTGCCAGGAATGGTAAGATTGCTTATTCATTACCCATCAACATGATGAAGATGGCGAGTATTGTTTGTGTCTTACTAGAGCGTGCAATATGAGATTTTATGGCTGGCTGGCTCACTCTCACTCTCACTCTCACACACACACACACACACACTTTTCTGTACCACCGTGATATGTGCATCTTTATATTGTGGATTCCTGTCACTGCAAGGTCAGCTCCTCCACTGATGCAGCTCTCAGTGTTGAATCCCTATGCCCTCACAAATGACAAAGCACCTCAATCCTGCCCCACAGTTTCATTGGCTGACACATTTCAATCAATGGCAATGAACTATGCAAATGAATGGGAGAGAGAGTGAGCGATGACTGGCTGAATTATCTCTGGTGCCACAATGCACCTGAGGCAACAGCACCAAATGAACCATGTGAGGAGAACAGGTTTTTCTAGTGTTCCAGTTTTCCAATTGCCACCAAAAACAAAAAGCTTCTTCCCACTGATACATTCCTGGAAGTTTAAAAAATTAATCACAAAATACCATTGAGTGGACCAGTAAGCCTCATTTCATTCAGTCAATAGTTATTACTAGAGAGTTGAATGCTTTACTTCTTTCCATCAGCGCCATTGCACATACTAGATGCTCCTTCCAACTCTCTCCTTATCCATTTCAGGAACTCCATGCATCCCACCGACTCTCACCTTTCCTGCCAGAAGCTCTGTGTGCCTCCTATTCCCCTCAGGCCATGGGGTTTCTTCTTCCCCTTCATTCAGATAGGGTAAAACTTTCAAAATCACCTAAGTGTGTAGATCCTGTTTCCAAAAGAGATGCTCTGGAATATTTTACCCATAGTCATTTCAGAAGGAAAAACTGAGTTGCTTGAAATCATGGATGAAATTTCAAGAAAGAACATTTTGTCACACTAAGTACCCTGACCATAAAGAAAGCAACAGTGATTTCTAGAGACTATAAGCACAAGAACATAAAAAAGTGACATTGCTTATAGGAGAGGAAATGAACTGCACTTAGCTTGATATGACTGTTAAAAGGACATAGATTAGAGGCTCCTTGAAGCTGTGAATAGTTAGGCCTCAGTCAGTGTGGGCCTCAGAAGAACACCATTAACCCAGAGGGGATTTTGTAATTAGGATTGCCAGGTGTCCGGTTTTGAATCAGACAGTCCAGTATTTGAGCTTTCTGTTCAGGAAACAAATTGAGAAAATATAAATGAGAAAATATAAATATCCGGTATTTTCTAAACAAGATGTAATATAGATTGTGATGTAATGTCAAGTGTGTCCAGTATTTTTGTTCAAACTATCTGGCAACCCTATTTGTAATGCAGCTAAAATCCAAAAGAATTCCTGCATCTTGTGGGTAGTTATAATAAAATAGCTGAGTAGTTCTACTGGAAGAGCTCATGGAGATGACCAGTCATTTTAACCAATGAGATAACATCAACTATTTTTTGGCTCTCTCTCTCTCTCTCAGACACACACACACACACACACACACACACACACGCTCTTGATTTTATTTTGACTAGCACTGAACACTGTAAATCATTGCTCACTGGAAACCTCCTCTATGCCCTTAAAAACTTGCTAGCATAGGTTTAATGTTGGGCTGAATTACTTTTTTTTTTAATTCCTTCTCCTGCTGTGCCGTAGTCCCCTCCCCGGTTCACCCCTCCCATTAGACATGTAGAAATGACTAATCTCTGTCAGGCCCTCGGTCTGTGCTTTTGATGTATGCACAGCCTCTAATCTAAGTGAAGAAATTTTGTGGCTATCTGATTGCAGTGCTAAGGGACTTTTGATGAGGCAGTAAAAAGATGACAGCTTTTGCAGATGAGAAAATAGCTGTTCCCAGCCAGTTTTAACAGTGAGCCATGATATTGAAGGTGCACACAAGGCTGCAACCAGACAGGCAAAAATCCATAGAAAGAAAGAGCCACTTGGGAGCTTTGTGACAATCAGAAAAAGATGGCCACTACAGGAACTGTGGCTATTTGTATATTACTATGAAAGGAAGGGTATTCTCATTCTCTCTCACGCACTCTCATTTATGTATTTGTTTAAAAGAACTCTGACTTCCATTGAACTACTTTAGTACAGACTTGAGCCTATTAAAACCCTCTCATACTATATATTGTGTCTGTAAAATTCTGTCATACAAAACCTTTATCTTATTTCCAGAAAGGTTACATAACCATCCAAAGAGACTTGTGAATTTTCTCTGGTCTCTGATCTAAAAAAGCCCAGGATCTTGCAAGGGAATAGGTTTGAGAGATCACAGACAAAATGTCACCACTAAAAGCTGCATTCATGAATGGAAATTTACAGATTTTTCTTCAATAAAATTTGCAAAATGGCAAGGAATGTCAGTTTTCACACAAAGCACACATTTAAATGTCACAACCATTTGACAAGTTTCAACTGAGCTATGTAACAGAAAGGGAAAAAACAGTTTAGCTGAAATGCAGCAGTAATAATGGTGCTAGAGACACACATCAAAAAGGAACCTAGGAAAAGAACCTTGAATCCCTCAGCACAGACCAGAAAGAGCTAGACACTGCAGTTTAAAAGGTGTGGAAGCAATTAAAGGAAGTCAACCCCCTGCCCCCCAGTTGCAGGGGGATAAATATAAATTCTAAACAAAAAAAGTTAGCTGAAATAATTTTGTTGTATGATGGATTTAAACCCTTTTTTTAGAGCCAGATCCCCATCTGGTATAGCTCCATTGAAGTGAATGGAATATCACAGATTTATAATCAGCAGAACATCTGGCCTGTGCTACACAATATTCAATTCTCTTTCCCATATTTTACCCATCAGAGTTTACATTAAAAGGGAAGCATTGCTCTGACTAATGATGTACATTGATATCAGAAAAGTTTTTTTTTCCCTCTGAGCCAATAATTATACTGTACAAGAGAAAAATATTTGTCCTTGGCCTCTAGAGGCACTCGACTGCACCAAAGGACATGCAACCCCACAACACTTTCTTGGAGAAGGATATCCTGGCCACACAAGAATTAAAGGAAGACAAGGATTAAGAAAATATAAACATGAAGGAACAAAAGGAGAGCGCAACTTCATGTCTATCTTCTGTGGGAGGCTGCATTAGCTGAGATAACAAAAGGGTTCTTAGAAATAAAAGGCATATGTAGTAGGATTTCAGGCCAACGGGCATAGGTGGTGGGAGAAGGCCCAGCTGGGGTAGGCAACCCTCAAATCTGCCCTTTCAACCTCAGGCTCTTTCTTCCACCAGAGCTCCCACCCCTTCAGCAACTTTCCCTTCTGTAGCCAAGCCCTGCCTAACCCCTGCCCTGAAGCCCAATCCTTCCTAGCCAGCAGAAAGCCTGAGGCTGCTGTGCTCCGGCCTCAGGCCTCCCCGGCTGTCAGGGACATAGGCAATTTTGGAAGGCCTTCCCTTGCCTACATTACCTGCCTCCCAGCCAAAGGGGCAGCCTAAATTGGGAGTTAGCCGTTGCTAAATTGTAGGGTTGGCATAGGAGACAGGAGCCTGCCCTACACCATTGGTCCCAACCCAGAAGCCTGTCCAGCCAGTGTTCCAGGTTTCAGCTTCCATAACAGCCAATGCATTCCATGGGCTGCTGTCCATCCTTGGCTTTGAATCCTTTCATCCCTTCAGGAGTAGCAGTTTCCCATTCCCTCATTCTCTGTGGTCAGCTGGCGTACCCCAGTGGATCCAGCCTGTTTGGTCCCTGTAGCATACATCCATTCTCCTCCTCAGTCAGCACAGAGGGAGCTAAGCTGCTTCCTTTTATAAGCTCCCTTCACCCCAAGCATGTCCAGCAAGGGCAAGAGGGCATGGCCTCCCAGGCCAAAAGTGTGTGGTTAACCCTTTCTGGGCTAGTATACCCCATCACAGTGTGATGCATAGAAAACAAAGACATAAGAATTCAAGATAAGCACATCACCACAGATGGTATTATGGAGAAAGGGCCATACAAATCAGGGATTTCTTGGGACTGATTATTTTGCTCTGACTCTCACCACTCTTCAACAGGTAAGTCATTACGTCAATGGGGATTTCACCAGTGTATTAAATGTAAGAAGAGAATTTGGTCCCTTACACCAAGGAGGCCAAAGTAACAAGGGACCTAATTGTCCTCTCGCACCAGTAAATCAACAGGAATTCCCCTGAAGCTAGTAGAGTTGTAGCCGTATCAAATCAGTGTTAGCGAGATCAGAATCAACTTGATGAGCCAGCTCCTCAGTCCCCCTAACATCGTTCGGTGCCTCCACAGTAGCAGAGAATGATCTTAAAGCTGCCCTAATGGGGCAGCAAAGAATTTCACCATCATGGAATTAGGGTTTGCTGGAGTGTAAACAGCAGTCAACTGGCAGAGTCCAAAGCCCGAGCCAGCTGTTTTAGCTGGCGGAAGTTAATTTGTGCTGGAAGCACGCTCAGGGCAGGTATAAAGGTAGCTGAAGGCCACCTTTGCTGAACACGCTGTGCAGCTGAGGATTGCTATTGCCCTGGCTAAAAGGTGATCCCTGTTGCACCACAAAACAGCCAGGCTAATAGTTCCTGGTGTTCCCCAGTGGAACACGGGGGGGTACAATATTTATTGCTGGCTCAGCTCTCCCCCTGAATGCATGTTTTCCCCTCTTTCTTAAGACAGTAACTGCGTACGGATGGTGCAACTGGGAGTGGTACTTCAGCTGTTGGATCTCTTAGAGCAACATGTGGAAAATGGGGATGTTTCCGTTCAACATGCTGCACTCAGTGCCCTTCGAAACCTTGCTATCCCAGGTACACTGCTGGCAAACAATTTCCTATTCATACACTACTGTGTCCATGGGACCAGGGGGTGGAGGTGGGGGCGGGGGGGGACTGCAATCACAGATTCTGGTGCCTTTTCAGATTGACCGGCACCTGAGCTTTTTTCCCCACAAAGTAACTCATGCATGTGAATAGCTCATTGGGATTACTCATGCACAGAAAGTTAAGAAGCTTGAAATTATTTACAGGGGTCTAATTAGTCACCCCTGAAATGGCTTACCATTGTGAAACGAAGAACAGTAGATACTCTTTAAGCAGCACAGGGGACAGAAAGGAATATCACATCTCTTCAAGGGATTTTACAGAACTGCTCTTCTCCTTTGAAGCCAATGCTAATTTAGAATGAGCTAAAATTCAACTAGTATGTTGCAGTGTAAAGTTTTTGCTCTTGGCACTGTTAATAAACACATCAGGACGTTGGTTCTATGCCTCATTTCATGTTAAATGCAGCCCTGCTGTCTAGGAGTGCAAGTGAGAGCAGAAATTAATTTGTCTGAGCACTTCTAACAGTACAGTGCTACCCACAATCATATTGGAGCATTGATTTAGTACTGGCTCAGAGGAAAGCTTGCCAACTCTCATGCCACAATCTGCTGCAACACCTTTGGAGGTCTCCTCTCAGTACTAAAGTGACCAGGTTGGTTAATTGGTCTGAGCACAAAATGATGACTTTATACAATAAACATTTCCAAGTGTTTGTCAAAATAAAGCAAAATTAGTAGCAGGAAATGTATTTGTAGCCTTCTCTTCTGGTTTAATAGCTAGAGCTTTTGTTTCTTCTCCACTACCTCCTTCAATATTTAGATTTAAAGTTGGGTACTCTGGTAAACTGGAGCCTGTAATCAAACTCATGTGATAAAGTTGGCCATAATGAGTGTGTATTAAAAAAAGAAAAAACAGAGTCCTGTGGCACTTTATAGACTAACAGATTTATTGGAGCATAAGCTATCGTGGGCAAAGACCCACTTCATCAGATGCATGAGGGTCTTTGCCCACATAAGCTTATGCTCCAATAAATCTGCTAGGGTTTGTCTACACTGCAGTCCTCTTACTAGAGAGGAATGCAAATGCAGCTGAGAGAAATTGCAAATGAAGTGCAGATTTGAATTTCCCATGCTTCATTTGCATAATTGCATCCAGGCGCTATTTCAAAATACCCCATTTTGAAAAAAAGAAATGCTGTCTAGGCATGTTTATTTAGAAGGAAAACCCTTCTTTCAAAATTACCCTTAAACCTCATTTTATAAGGAGTAAGGGTAATTTCAAAAGAAGGGTTTTCTTTTGAAATAACTGCATCTAGACAGCTTTTAGGGCTATATTTAACCAAATTCAGGATGTCTAAAAGTTGTCTGACAATTTTGTTCAGAAAAAAATAAAATGGAAACTTTTCAATACTGTTGAAACATTCCATTTTGACATCTTTGGAACTCCCAGTTTCAATTTGTTGTTAGAATTTTCCAAAACAGTTTATAAAAGAGAAGAAATCCAAATTAAAGATTTTGATCAAAATAATGTTTTGAAGAATTTCATTATTTGCTTTAGATCCATTTTGGAACAGATGTTTTTAAAATAATGGAATTTCCCACAGATCTATATTAACCTGTGTTTCCTTCACTTGAACAATCTGTCATTTCATGTAACATGGCTTTTACTGCAAAATAGCTTTAGTTACCAGTGCACAAGATGCCCATGCTATGCAGCTCTGTAAATCCCAGACAAGTCATATTTCTGTCTCCCTACACTGAAGCTCGTGTGATGCAGGAGAAGGACGTATAGTTAAAATCAAGGAAGGTGTTTTATTAGTCATAACCAGTATTCCCTCTAATCTTTCCCATGCATGTGTAGCAGGCGTGGGGAACCTCAGGCCCGGGGGCTGGATGTGGCCCCGTAGCAGGGGTGGGTAACCACAGGCCCGGGGGCTGGATGTGGCCCCTGGCTTGTCTAGATCTGACTCCCAAGGCTCAGGGCTCCACCCCAAGCATTGGGAGCCTGCGCTGGTGCTACAGCTCCCCTGTCACCCCCCATGTGGCTGGAGCACACAAAATCTACTCGCCCCACCCCCCAAACTCTGGTGGGCAAGGGGAACGTTTCTTGTTTATTTGCTTCTCACTTTTGTGCAGTCCCCGACTGATTTTATTGTGGGTCAGCAGCTTCCGATCCAGAAAACGTTCCTCAGCTCTGATGTGTAGAATAATTTGTTACGTTCGTCAAGGCACATGGGAAAGTGCACCATCAGTAGAAACAAAACCCAGCTGGAGGCACTCTGCAAAGCAGCTGGGTGGCAGCTGAATTTCGCCTGAATGGCCACATAAGCACATAGTTTACATGGAAGCCTGGTCATAACCTGGAATTAACAGATGACTGAGCACTCCATCTGGTTTCTTAAGTGCTGGCTAGCACAGAAACGCTGAGAATACCCATGCCTTTATACAGAAAAAATTAATACGCTGTTCTGCCAACTCTGCCTTTGCATGTGACCTAATCTAAAGTTTCCACTCTCCAATTCCTGGAGTGCCTTAATGCTGACTTTCCACGGCCTCTCTGCTTGACTTTAACCAGGAACCTGACCCTTTTGGTGGCTCAGGCTCTTTGGATCATGTGAACAGGCCCTGGGTTGGCAGTGACAGTACCTATCCTCCAGCTACTCTTAAAAAAGCTCTTTCCAAGGATCTTTGTGGCACCTTTCCTCTGTTCTGCATGACATACAGTAGCACAGGGTAGACTCTTTACAAAACAACTGAACTTGGAAAACAAATGTTACAGCTGCAGTCTCTGGGAGGAAATTGACCAGCTGTTGAAGCAGTGCAAAGCAATACTACCCAACACTTTCAGCTGGGAAGGGGAAAAATAATACTTGATCCAGCTGAAAGTGAGGGAAAGTTAGGTAGACTGGGTGTAAATACCTGCATTAGAACATAGGGTGAGCTTATTAAATGTGCCCAAGATGCTCAACTGCCATTGATTTTATTCTTGTGCTATGGGGTCTTTACTGATCACATGTAGCAAGGATGATTAATCTCTCATTTGGAAGATCATACTGCCAGTGCTCCATTCTCTTTAGCAGCACAGTGGGATATTGGTACAAGAGAGAGCCCTTCCCCCTGTAGTGAATCCCAATTCCACTTTCAATAGTACAGTATCTAAGTCTTCCTTAGAGGTCCCTTCAGCAAGCAATGAATGACCCAGACCTTGCATAGTTGGTAGGGTCTATCAGGCTCACCCAAAAAGGTGCAGGCTACAAGCTGCAGTTCAAGTCCTCCTATATCTTTCCTTGCTAAGGTAAACCAAATGCCAGTCAATCTCAATGGCGTGTGCTGTTGTGCTTTAATGTGCTGAACTATGTTATCAGATATCTGTGCATTGATGTCGAGTCTAATTTAATTTTGGTAATCTTTGTTGTTCAAATATCTATTACGAGCATAGCATGCACTTTTGAAGTGTGAGGGTTTTTTTAAAATGGGAAACTAACAAGCTGTGCATCAGAACATGAAAGCTTTTGAAGTGTTGGGTTTTTTTAAAATAGAAACTAACAAGCTGTGCATCAGAACATGAAAAGGGAAAACCATGGATGGGGGATAGATCAAGAAATCTATCAATTGCCATTGGATACATGAAAGGAACTAATGAAAGCAACTGGAGAATTTTAAAAGAAAGAAAAGCCACACATAACTTACAGAAGCAGTAATGCAGGGAACATAGCACTTGTAAATTCTGTGAAATCCTATTCACATCCCAGGTCTTTACTAGCCATCAGTAAAGTAAATCTCAAACTGTGGAGATTATCAGCAGAGACCTCCTACTGAAGACATACTCCCCCTCAGCATTCATGCTGAACAGGTTCATCCTATGGTCTCATGATAGGCTATACCATTAAAGGGTCATATAATAAAACTGCAAGGGAAGTCAAATTGAATGCAAGGTAGAAATCAATTAGATGCCTTGTAAAACTTACGGGTGGGCACAAGAGGTTTCTTTAATTGATTCAAACTAAATAGTGCTGAAGGGGATTGTCTGGTGAATTCTACTCCACTCAAGTTACTGGGGTTTGAAGCTCGTGCTACCGTGCTAAGGAAATTACAAAACAAGGTAATTAGTGGAGGGTTTGAAGCTTGTGCTACCGGAACCTAAGGAAATTACAAAACAAGGTAATTAGTGGTGTCAGTTTCTCAGCATGCCTGCAAGATTGGTAAGAAAGAGACAGTAGGATTCTTGCCTGATACAGTTGCCCCAGGAAAGACAGAAACATGCAGAAGAGAAGGATAAAATTATTTTGGAGGAAGCCGACTTTGGCAGCTGAGTTAAGCAGCATTCGGGCTTTTTCCAGAGAAGTTTCAGACCATTAATTTCTGCACTAAAGAGTGGGGGTAGAGAAACAGGATTAAGGAGAGAAGGAGCGCACAGAAGCAAAGAAGCATCAAATACAAAGACACTTCACCCTCACTATTCCTGTGATGTGTATAGTTCAGTATGGGTACATCTAAACTGCAATGCTATTTTGGATACTGAAGTATCCCAAAATAGCTATCTCCCGTCTTCTCAGCAAGCCCATTATTTCGGGCTCACTATTCTGATGTGCCTGTAAACCTCATTCTATGAGAAGACAGACACATTTCAGAATAGCACTATATTTAGAAATTTGGCACTGTGTAGAGTAGACAGTACCAAATGACTAAATAAGCTTTTTCGAAATAGCATTAAAATAAGATGCACAATTTGCGTAGCTCAAATTGCATATCTTATTTTGAGTTACAGTGCAGTGTCGACGCACCCTATAAGACCAAAAGATTTGGACAATTCTGATCTTTAGGGTGCTTATATCCACCTAAGACCAAAAGATTCTGATCTTTAGGGTGCTTATATCCACCCAGTTAGACCGTTATAGTCTTACCCCTTGACAATGTTCAGTAACCATAGGAAAATCATCTGTTACACAGTCAGCTGAATATATCCAACTGTCCTTATCTAGGTACTTGTAGAGTCTTCATAATTTTGAGCTACAAGTTCACGTTCTCCAATCTCCAAAATGATTAAGTTCTCTCTCTGGTTCCATTTTTTAGTTGCCAACAAGGTTCAGATGCTGGAGGAAGGCGTGGCAGAGCGGATCCAGATGCTTTTGAGATCAGAGATGGCACCGGTGCAGTTTAAACTTCTTGGAACACTGCGAATGTTAATAGACGGCCAAGGTAGAGAATTGCTCAGCAAAGACTAATGTCACTTTGAACTATTTTGCAAGCTAGGAGTGAAAGGGAAAATAAGCCAAATGCTTGGCAGACAACTACTCTAAACCATCAGAGTAAAAACAGCAGAGAATTTTGCCAGTGCGTCATATTCACTAGACCAAAAATCTCAAGCATCCAGACAGCAACAGATGAGCTATGGAGAGGCCTGAACAAAGAAGCTGTAAAAATCTAATGGAGAAAGCTAAGGCCTGAACAAGAGTTCTTTAATGGAGCTACACCAGCAGAAAGTTAGCATAATGATAGGAAGAATCAGGTCAAAAATGTCTAATCTCACAATTTAAAAATGAGTAGCCCTAAAAATTGGGGAATATATTTCTACTGCTCTAAAACATTTCTGTACACTCCCGCTTCTTACAGGCTTATCCTACATCCTGCAAGTCTGGCTGCAAATCTTAACAAGTCCTGAAACTTTTATGGGGCATTGCAACAGGATGATACCGTGTGCTTCAGTTGCATGTTTAGGAGCCCAAATCCTACACTTGGCTACACAGATGGGCAGGAAGTACGATAATACTCATTTTATGCATCTACCTGCCCTTTTGAGAGCCAAACTGCAGGAATTTGGCTCAGCGTATGTGTCAAGTTTGAAAATTGTGCTCTCCATTTACCATAGTATCTTGATTCATCCTGACAAACTAATGTCCTACCAGAACATAATGGCATGAGAAAGCAAACCCCATGGTCTTGTGATGCAATAGCTTAGTTATTTCAGCACATGTAAGTAGCTAAGCTAGAACAATATTCCTCAGAGTTGTGTGTCAGGTTTAAGGACTAGAAGAAGGGGGAAAAAATGCAGAAAACTGAGAGATGGATTCCCATTTTACAACTGGCACATGCACATAAGGTCATAGCTCTCATGGATCCATCAGCTCTGTACCGAAAACCAAGGGCTGATTCTCTACTGCCTTATCCTATGGAATCACATAAAACTCCATAGGTTTTGTTTGGCAGCAATTTGCATTCATTTTGTAAACGCACACACAAGATACAAGGCGATGGAGAATCAGGCCTAGAACCAGCATGATCAGAACAAAAATCTTTAATTCAATGGAAAGTTTCTATTTGCATTTCACCATAGTAGATGGATGATACTGCATATGACAAGGCAGCGTAGCAGCTTAGCATAATAAAACAATTTTTCCTTCTAGTGCTTTGGAGAGCATTATTAAAATATTCAGCCTGTCATGATTATTTGGAGAATTTTAAAGATGACAACTTCAGAGTTGAGGAAAGGCATCAGAGTATTCTTCCAAAATGAGGAAACATTAGGATAAGCCAGCCTTGAATTACAAAATGCTAAGAGGCTGCTTCTACCCTTGCTCACATTGGTTGTAGGCCGATGAGATTCCAGTGACTTTGGTTACATTATTTTAGAGTTACATTGGTATAAATGAGATCCGAAATCAGCCCCCGCGAAACACCAATCTCTAACACAAGAATCCTTTTTCTGAATTTTGTAGAACATTGTAGTGTAGAGTAGGAAAAATATAACATGCTATTTAAGTTTCATACTTCCATGGCAGGAACTGCAGAAGCCACCCATCTTTAATTGCCTTCTGTTCTATATACCCATGAGCCAACATTGACCTTAATTAACTCCACATGAAACACTCTCATGAACATGTGTCTACTAACAAGTCCCTACTACATTAGTTAATTGTATTATCTAGTGTAAATTCATTACTCTGACAACGGCTGGGCATGCTGATGCCTGCAGAATGGAGAGAGGCATGTTTCTCGCTAATTATAGCAATCTAATCTAGATGCCTTTGTGCTTATTGCTTTCAACATCACACTACCTAAAAGGAGGCACTTCCCAGTAGTTTCTTGTTTCCCCAAAGTACTGCCGATGGAGCTACACTGATGGATTTATGCATCTAGCCACATGAGCTTTTTAAGCAATATTTGGAAGTGGGCACAATTCACTCAAGGCCTACATTTCATACACTGAAGACAAAGATGTCTCTTCTTCTAAACACCATGGTTACGTCTACACTGGCATGATTTTGCTGAAGACAAAGATGTCTTTCCTTCTAAACACCATGGCTACGTCTACACTGGCATGATTTTCCGGAAATGCTTTTAACAGAAAAGTTTTCCGTTAAAAGCATTTTCGGAAAAGCGAATCTAGATTGGCAGGACACTTTTCTGCAAAAGCACTTTTTGCGGAAAAGCGTCCGTGGCCAATCTAGACGCGCTTTTCCGCAAAAAAGCCCCGATCGCCATTTTCACGATCGGGGCTTTTTTGCGGAAAACAAATCTCTGTTGTCTACACTGGCCCTTTTGCGCAAAAGTTTTTCAGAAAAAGACTTTTGCCCGAATGGGAGCAGCATAGTATTTCCGCAAAAGCACTGACAATCTTACATGAGATCGTCAGTGCTTTTGCGGAAATTCAAGCGGCCAGTGTAGGCTGCTTTTCCGGAAAAAGTGGCCAGTTTAGACACAGCCCATCTCATTAGACTTGGGCTTAGAGAGTTTTATTGCCAGCAGAGCCAACCGAAAGTCCATCTGGACAAGAAACTAAGTCCTAGCCTCTGCTTTGAGCAAGCTTCTAACCTGGCTTTGCGTGCCAATATGGCAATAAGGAAAACTGTCTGGACTCTAACTGCACTGATTTCGCTGATCGGTTGAGACAAATCGTTCTGACCTCAAAGCCACAGGCATTCTCTCATGTGAGGTGACTTGTGGTGGGAAATGAAGTCTGCAATCCTGTTGGGAGAAGAGAGCAAAGGAATGAGTAGGTGGCCTTTGGACTGCTCCTGAAGCAGAGTATCAGTTCTGCCATGCTGATGCTGCTAATCTGGCTTTGTCCTGTCCAGCTTTCCTCTGTATCCTCTGAGCTCTCTGTATTCCTGGAGAAGGTAGAGAAAGTGGAAGAAAAATATTAAATGCCCTTCCTCTTCAAGCCCCCGTAATGTTTTAAAACATGTGGATGTGGAGAACACTCTGGAGTCACCACACTCCTCTCAGACACTTTTTGAGAAGGCCTGGCAGACACTGCAGCCAAGTGCACTCTGAACAAGACATAAAAGGCACATTTCATGCACACATGAAGCAGGGAACATTGCAAGGCAAGGAGGAGCACCTCTTAATCCCTGGTTTCTTAGAGGCGTGCATTGTGACCTCATGGCAGCCAAAAAAAGTCAGCCAGCATTGCCCTCAGCCCTGAAAAGTTAAAAGAAATACATCCAGCTTTAAAATCAACTGACCCTCAAATTACAAGCTAGCGCTCAAGATTAAGACAAGTCTGTTCTAGGACCACTCTAGCTGGAGTTGGAGTGTTAGGGGAGGTTGGGTAGCTATAAACTTTAGCTACAGGGCACAGGTGATTGTGCACCCCTTCCTATTAATTACGGCCCTAAAAGCTTCAGTGGCTACATGGATGAGCTCTCTGAAGCTTAGAAGAGGTGAAGAAATTTGCATTTCATCTCTAGCTTCTATTTCCCCCCTCCTAAAAACACACACCTCCAAGTTTAACTCCGGGAGTTTATTTATGGATCCTGATCCTACAAAGCACTGAATGCCCTCAACTCCTATAGTGCGTGGTAGGGACTAAGGCAATAAACAGCTGCCAGGTGGCTCCCAGACCTCCACAGGAATGCTCCCTGGACAGCATCTTATTAAGTTAGAACAAAAAACTTTATATGCCTCAGTACCCCTTTTGTCAGCACTTTTTCTTGTGCTGAGTAGCACTTTCTAGATTCTAACCATTTTTAAATCAGTAGCAGTTTGTAACAATGTGGCTTTAATGAAGTTAAATTGCAATTACATTCCTGTGGAACTGTTTGTGTTACAACCCTTTTTATCAAAGATGTTCATCAGGATCATGCATAACCTTTCTTTTGCTGTTGTCAGAACTTAAGGGTTGTGGCAGCAATTTTCTTCAGAAGCACTAGCTTCATAATTTATTGCAGACTATTAGAGGTGCATTTTCTTATAGAGGATTGTCAAGTAAGTTGTTTCTATAGGACAGCCACAAAGATTAGAATTCCTGGCATCTTGGTATCTCATGAGAAGACTCAAATGTCATAAGGAAGGATGGGCGATCAGGTTCAGACAAAATAAGAACCTTCTGCAAACATTGTTTAAAATTTGAATTGAATTTAAAAAGAAAAAGGTCTGAGGTTTGAGGAAGATTTTCCCCTCTAAGTAATTTGGAAATTCTAGGTGTGTCTCAAGTTTTAGGTAGAACTGGTTAGGAAATTTTTGACAATTCCCTTCCACACACAATGCACTGATTTGTGAAAATCTAAAATTTTTGCAAAAACATGGATTTGATGAAATTTTGTCCAGAAGTTCTCTTAGGTCTGGAATGCATATAATTAAATAACACTCCACCCACCTCCAGAAAAGCCAAAAGCATGGCTAATCAGCTGGGCAGCATTTGAATCGTTCCTGAAAGGCCACCCAGAGTGCTCAAGCTTACAGGAACAACTGGGTTCAAGTCCTTGCTCTTGCCTGATTTAAAGCAGGATCTTGAATCTGTGTTTTCCACATCCTCTAGGCGTGCCCTAGTCACCTGGTCTACCAGTTTTGATTGGACGTACTCCTGGAGGTTTCATCACATGATCTTTGCATTTGTACAGCACCTAGGACAAAATAATTCTGGTACATGACTGGGGCTTCTAGGCACTACTACAATGCAAACAACAATTGTGCTATAAGCTCTGGCATAAAGTGAGAAACAGTCTGTATTTGAAGACCATACAGTCAAATATAGGGCAACACTCAAGGAATGGGTGCAAGAAATCGTGAGAGGGAATAGGAGAGAGACAATAAGGGTAGTTACTTATGCCATCTATAAACAGTGACAATAATAGTAATTTTCACTTCTAGGGATCGCAAAACACTTTAATTAGCTATTGTTGCAGCTTCAGGGAGCCGATACGTATTCTATTTGTTTTGCATGTACCTCAACAGACATTGATACAGCAGGGGCAGAAACTTGGTGGACTCTCCATCCCTAGAGGTTTTTAAGTCCCAGCTTGACAAAGCCCTGGCTGAAGTGATTTTGTTGGGATTGGCCCTGCTTTTAGCAAGGTGATTGGACTCACTGAGCTCCTGAGGTCTCTTCCAAACCTATGATTCTGTGGCAATTGGGGAAGAGGGGCTACAGGTTTCTGAATCATGGCCCCAACCGAGCACTGCCCTTTCCACCACAAGACCTCACCTCCCACTCACTCCTCTCTTATGGCCTGTAGAAAGTGGAAGGGCCTTCCACCTTTAAAAGTGATGGGACCGCCACCCCTTGGGGCCCCCTATTCCAGCACCCCTGTATGGATACCTTAAGTAACTTACCCAGAGGTGCACTGTAAGTCAGTGGCTAAGTCAGAAGGTCAGCAGCCATAAATTAGTGTAGCCTCATTGATTTCAACAGAGCAACAGTTTTATACCAACTGGGATTTTGCCCAAATGCCTGAAGTCCTGACTAATTCTCCTGTCCTAACACTAAACATTTAATTTCTTGGACCTTCTTATGTCTGGACTTACACATGCACTGTAGTCACAAACAGCTTGTTCATAGCGTGGGATACCACTTAAATCAAACAGCAGTCTCCTTCAGCAGAGGCAAGTCAGGACACCCGCAAGAATTCTCTTTTAGACTGAATCTTCTGTGATTCAGGCCCAGAGTAAACAACTGGACCTACCATTCTTCTGTTTTCAGCTGACACTGCAGAGATGCTGGGACAGGACCCTTTGCTGCTCAACAGACTTGTGCAATGGTGTGAGGCCCAGGAGCACGCTGGGGTTCGTGGAGAAGCAAATCGATTGCTGGCATCACTCTTGAGGCACAGTAGATCCCAAGTATGAAATTACTGGTGGTATTTTTTTTTTTTTAAGTAGTCACAAGTGCTTACTGCCAGGCTCACCCTCCTGTTGCTGTGTGGTAGCTGACAGTACACACACAGCAACAGTACACACTTTTTCATCCCATGTTGTCAACATGTCTCCACACCAGCCTGGAGGGACCCCTTTCTAGGGTTGGACAATAGATTGCAGTCCTTAGCCCCACACAGTCCTTTTCCCTGAAATTACCAATAAGGGACTCCACGCATTTGGGGGTGATTGTTTTGTGAGATGGATACCTGTCAACTGGAATGGACTTAAGTTCACCACATTAATTTCAAACATTAGTTGGTAATAACATTCAGTCACTCAGCAAGCTGAGCGGGATTTGAACCAGCAACCTAGAGGTAAAAAAGATTCCATAACTGAATACCAGTTCCTGACTTAGCCAGCAAGCAGCCTTTCTAGGCACAACCTTCTTGCATAAACATTTTACTATATTCAGACATTAAACCAATATTTAGAGGAAAAAAACATGAAAAGCAGAAAAAAAACCCCAAATCTCTTTTAGAAATGCTAATGCGTTCACTTTGGCTGCCTACTCCTTGATTCTGGGAAGGATGAATGCAGGTATTTTGATGACAAAGTGCTGTTGATATGTTATCAGACATTTTGTGTCTTATGCTAAGGCTATTCTGATTGATTATACCGAAGTCTTTCAACTGTTGCTTCATTTTGAGAGTATATAAAACGGAGATACAATTTGCATAAAGTTGGATAAAACAAACAAAAAAAAGGAAATACCTCTACGTATTGATATTCCACAAAACAAAAAAGGAAATACCTCTACGTATTGATATTCCAGCTAAATTAATTCAAGATGGCTTTCAAGCACAGGTGAATGACTAACGCAGACAAAATTCTCTCTGGCAGTGCAGGTAAAATACAAAATGTATCCAGATTAGAGCTTCAGGCATGACAGGGGAACCATTTCCAATTGCTTTAGAAACTTTCTGGGATGAAAAGTAATTCTCTTTTGTCACCTCAATGGGGTTTGTGTCTCAGCTCTTGATTTGTGATACTTTCACCTGACCCATTTCTTTTGTTTGGCTGACAACAGGAAGTGGTCAAAGCCATCCAGCAGGCACAAGGAGTGAAGCACCTGGTTTCCATGACAACAAGTGAACACGTTATCATGCAGAATGAAGCTCTGATTGCATTGGCCATAGCATCTGCTGTTAATTTAGGTATCCTTCCTCCCCCAAACTGTTGGTCTGAGTAACCATTTAAGATGTTGCTCTTGATATTAATACAAGTGTTTTATCACCCTGTTAATTTGCACAGTGATTTACAGATTTTATGTAAGTATATTCCTAGCCTTGAAAACCTTACAGTGACTTTACAGTCAACAGTACAAAAGACACATGGTTTGGGGTTTACCAATGAGAAGCAGGAAACAAGGGATTTCTTAAAGAGGTTGGTTTTAGGAAGGATTTGAGAGTAGAGGATTGTTGGTAGATGGGGACAAGAAGTTATTTGATATTCCTTGGGAAGTGGGTTAGAATACACGAAACCAAGATAAGGACAAAAGGGAGAACCAAGAAGAGTAGAAAGAAGCAAGAATGTTAATGGGGAAAGGAGTATAGAGATGTTAGTGGAGTCAAAATTATAAAGGGCTTTCCTTCTTAAAGGAGAGGCAAGATGATTCAAAGGAGGAAGTAACATCAGGGTAGTGAGGAAAAGGACTCCTGGCGCATGTTTACACAGCAGCATTATTCTGAAATAACTATGCAAGTGTCCACACAGCTAGCCCCTTATTTCAAAATGATTTTGAAATAACGGGCAGCTAATTTCAGCATTTGTAAACCTCATTCCACGAGGAATAGATGCCTCTTCTGACATAGCTATTTCAGAATAGCAGTAGTGTGGACGCCCCACTGCTGCTATTTTGAAATAGCTCCTCCCATGGCCATTCAAAGTAATTACTCCCTAGTGCTTCCTGGGGCTCTAAATTGAGGTAGTGCATTCACATTAGAGAAGCCACCTTGAACTAATTTCCAGGCTTCCCTGTAGTGTAGACGTGCTATTTTGGAGTATTTCTTCTGGAACAGCATAGTCTGAAATAATCGTGCAGTGTCGACGTAGCCTGTCAAAGGCATTAGAGAATGTAGACGTGACAAGAAAAGCTGAAGAATCCTGCAGAATTAATGAAACAAATGACAATACTGACCTTGACACAATTACAGTTAATGGGCTGGATTCCTAGTAGGGCTGAACATTCATGGCTCCCATCGAATTCATCTGGATTTGCAGTTGCACAGCTTCTTTTTAAAAAAGGGGGCTAGATATGTATTAAGCTTCATGCTCTACATCTAGGACACTAGCCTGAAGACTTTAAAAAGGGGGGCTAGATATGTATTAAGTTTCATGCTCTACATCTAGGACACTAGCCTGAAGATATTACAGTCTAATCTGAAGAACAACTACAAGCAGCCAATATTGGTGCTAAGCGCTATTACGGACTGAGGCGCAGAAAGCAGCAGTTTTAGACATGGATCAGCACTGGTCAAGTCAGAAAAAGGTCCATATATAGGAGATTATGTCAGCTATTTATGACGCTGAAAACATGAGGAAAGGCTACTAAAGATTGACACGTTATGAATTAAATCATGATGTAGAACAGCGGTTCTCAAACTTTTTGGGCTCCGGAGCCTTTTACAAGCGTAAACATGTATGCGGCGCCCCAGCGGTCCACTGATTGTATGTGTTGTAACTATTGATGTTTCCAGTTTGTCAATCTCGTGGAGCCCCTGGAGATGTCTTGCGGAGCCCTGGGGCTCCGTGGAGCAGTCTGAGAAATACTGATGTCGAAAATTCACGACATACAGCTGAGCTGTTTTATGGTCTGATGCTGTGAGGTGCTGAGCACTCTGAGTTTTCAATAAATTTTATGGGAGCTGGGGGTGTTCCACACCTCACAGGATTAGGTCTTATAACTGCTCTATGGGAGGTCAGCCATTTTCTTTCTAGTTTGAGAGAGAGACTTTCACTTTGCATATGCAAGTTACACAGAAATTTTTCATTTTAAAAAATGAATTATTTCCATGATACATCTTATTTTATTTTCAGAAGTCATCAAAGATTCACTTCAAGAGTTGAAGCTAGTTCAAAGCTTACATAAGCTTCTACGACATGAGAGCACAGGTCCCGAGGTGAAATATAATTCAATGGGCCTACTGTGCAGCCTTCTTAATTCAGGTAATTTCACTTTAGCACTAAAAGCCTGTCCATTTCGGTTACGCAGAAGTTATGAAAACTGTGTCACGGACGTATTTTCAACTAGTTGTGAGGCTGAATCTAAAGAGCGAAGTAGCAGCAGCATGTTTTTTCCTACAGTTAGGCACAGACCAGACAGCTATTCTTTCCCGCATGGGACCCCACCGGCACACTTCCTCAGTTTTGGAGCCAGCATGTACCAGCTCCCATTCCCCAAAGCAAAATGGGTACCTCAGCCTAGCAACCAATTATCTCAAGGGTTTGTTAGAGCAGCCAGATATACTGGCTTGCTGACCCCATTCTATTTCCTGGCCATGTCCCCTACACAGAGGCTTGGGAGGGCTGTAGACGAACACCTGCCATGTTGGCACCATGTTGCTTAGGGATTCCCTCATGGGGGAAAGCTGGGGAAGACTCCCAAGCTGCCTGGTTGACACAAACCGAGGGTTATATATATGCACTTGATCGACACAACTGTTGTTGTTCACGGGTGCCTAAATCCCACTAAGTGCTTAAAAGCCCAGCAAGTGACAGTGTGACTGCTGGAGAGTTTGCCAACATATTTCTAATTTTTTTCCTCCACATTTTTCTAAAGCAGTTCAGGGGACAAATAGGTTCCCTCTTTTAAAATGTTGTTTGTTTTTGAAACCCCAAGAATTGCCAAATTTTAAATCTATTGCCTGGGCAGACCTTTTCCATATATTATATCCCAACACACCTCATACCACCTTATGGACCCAGACTGTTGACCCATAAACTAGGTAGATCAGATCCTCTGCTACTATAAATCAACGAAGCTCTATTGATTTCAGTGAAGCTGTGCTGGTTTACTGTAGCTGGGGGATCTGACCCATAAAGATTTTCTCAGCCGTCGATTTCATTAGCACGCTACAAACATCTTTTAACTTTGATGCTGAGGTCAAATCTTCCTGATATGAAATGCTGGAGCAAAATATAAAGCACTAAGAGAGGGCAGGAGCATGTCTTTTATAATAAATTCTGAGAAATTAATATTTTACATCTAATTCTTCTGGGAAGGATGAAGTCATTGAAGATATTTAAACAGGGCAATTAACAGTTTCAAATAAATTAAATTCTTTACAAAAATCATCATCCCAAGAGAGAATCTTCCGAACTTTGTATTTAAATAAAACATAATAGAGTTAACCTGTGGCTGCAGTACATCCTTACATTGTAGTCTCTGTCATCCTTACATTGTCATCTCTTGTCAAGAGTATGGACTCATGCATGACATTAAAGTCCATCTTTGCCCTCCCTTCAGGTGATTTGAAACAAGAAGTAGAAAAGGACAACATTGAAGAAACCTTGGAAAAACTTTGTAGCCATAGCAATGCAAATGTGGTCAAACAGGCGGTCATGACCCTGCAGATACTGAGAGATGAGAGTCCAAACACCAGCTTCTTTTCTCCATAGCTGAAGGTGCTGCTTTCTCTGGCAGCTGGGGTATTTCAATAAAAATGTCAGCTTTTGCCAACAGCCACCATATTGATCATGTTGATGTCCACTAAATGCTATTAAACTCAGCACAGGCTACAGCGCTCACTGACATGCAACTGCACATCCCTTTGTACCTCCAGTTTACACCCACACCAGGTTACTACAAGCTGCATGTGCCCTGACAGACAAGCCAGGGGCCTAGCTACACTACAGCAGGGGCAGGAACTAGGAGCCACCTCCTCCCTGCCTAGAAACTACAATAAAAGGTCCCTGTTCTCTCTGCTTCTCCCATCCCCACTCCCTGCCCTCAGGACTAGCAGCACTAGTGGCAAAATATGCCTTCTAGCCCTCTAGAGAGACACGTGTCACAGTTAGGCTCCCCCCAGATCCTTACCACAGTAGCCAGAGTGCACCTGTTTGCAGTATTTTCTTCATAACATGCAGAGTCCTCTGCAGAAGCAGCGTTTGCAGGAGCTCAGAGCCGTGAGTCTTGTGATGGATACTGTCTGGTGATCAATGGAGCAGTTCCTACTTTCTGAGCTACTGTGTCAAAACATCTGCTGAGTCGTTACACTCAGGACATGTTTTCAATTAAATATTAAATTGACATCACGTTACTTAAAAACCTGGGGGTCCCTAAGCCTTAACCAGTACCGCTGGATTAAGGCACGGATACACTCTAGAAAATTGCACATGCAAATGGTCAGTCCTAACCCTTTGCAAGTGAAGTTATCCTGTTTCCATGCCCAATTAAAATAACAGTGCATATTAAGCAAGCATGAAGTGTTGCATACTTTTTTTCTAGCATCCCCACTGCCACTCCCCCCAAATACTTAAGTTAGCCCAGATTTTACCTGCTATCTCTGGGAGTTTTACTCAAACAAATCTTCAAGGTATTCATCAAGTTCCTAGCTATGGCTACGCTTGGAGCAGAGGGTGTGATTCCCAGCTTGCATAAATGTAATAGCACTTGCTCTCATCCAGCTAGTGGGCTAAAAATAGTGTTGCTGAGGTACCAAGGGCAGTGTTGAGTGGCAATATGGGCTAGCTGTCTTGAGCACATACTCACAGGCAGGTTTCTGTGCAGTGTGGCTAGCCTATGTCACTGCTACTTCACAACCCTATTCTTGTCAATACCCTAGCTTGATGAGCTTTAGCGTGAATATGCCATGATTAAATAGCTATTGATTGCAATAGGATGAACTTATACAGCAGTGTCTAAGGAGCACTGGGCCAACTTAAACTGGTTAGAAAAATGAAACGAGAATAAAAACATTTTCAGGTTTGTGTCACACAGATTATGCAACTGGTCTTTTTTTCCATTAAGAAGATTCATTATTTTTCATGCTTGGTAAATTAAAAATTGACAGCTATTTCAAAACTAACGTCTCCAAAAAGAACTTTTGACGTCAACAGCTTTTGTTTAAAAACAATGCCATTGTAACAACACTCCAGTTCTGTAATTCCCTTCCACCCCTACCGGGTGGGCAGCATACTTGGTAGCCCAAGTACAGAACCTCAAGTACAGAACTGCTACTCCTAATTTAGGCTTACCGTATTTTCCGGCGTATAAGACGATTTTTGATGTTAAAAAACATCCCCCAAAAATCGGGGGTCGTCTTATACGCCAGGTATACAGCTTTGTGGCTTTGCAAAGCCTCAGGGGAAGCCGGCAGCGGGGCAGCCCAGGC